GTTAGTTGGTGCTGAGTCAGTTCCAGCTCATGACAAACTTACGTATAACAGAATTCAGTGTTGTCTGGGACTGTGCCATTTTCAAAATCATTGGTATGCTCGAGTCCATTGTTGGGGTCTCTACTAACCACAGGGTAAACAGTTCAAACCTACCAGCAGCTCCACAGGACAAAGATGAGGCTGTCTGTTCTCATAAAGTTTACATGATCGAAAAGCCTATATAGTAGGGTCACTATAGTACGGTCCACTATGAATTGGAATCGACTCGATAGCAATTGAGTTTTCTAATCTAAGGCACTCATCTTCCAACACTATATGAGACAATTCGTTGGCTAATTTTTAGAAGTAGATAGCCAGGCTTTTCTTCCTAGTCTTTTTTAGTGTGGAAAGTCTCCTGAAACCTGTCAACCATGGGTGGCCTTGTATTTAAAACACTAATGGTATCGCCTCCAACATCATAGCCACATATAACCACCACCATATGATAAACTAACCAATTGAAAAGCTCTGTTTTCAGTTTCTGATATATTTTAACTCATTTCATCTTCAGAGTAGCTCTGTGAGGTCTCAAGATGGTATAGTGCCCAGGGAGGCTGTGCAACTCACCCAGAATCACACAGCTAATAGGTGGTGGAATTGGGATTGGAACCCAGGCCTGAACAAGAAGAATTAGCCCCCACTTGATGCAACTGAAGGGGCCCTGGTGGCACAGTGGTTAAGCAGTTGGCTGCTAACGAAAAGATCAGCGGTTTGATCCCACTCATGGGGAGATGTGGCCATCTGCTTCTGTTAAGATGGCAGCCTCGGGGACTCTAGTAATTCTACTCTGTCCTTTAGGGTCACTGTGGGTCAGGATGGACTTGACAGCGATGGATTTGGTTTGGGGATTTGTTTCAAACAGTTAAGCTCTCAGCTCCTAATCCAAAGGTTGGTGGTTTGAGTTCACCCAGAAGCACCTTGCAAGAAAGACATGGCAATTTACCTCTAAAAAGTCATGAGCCATTGAAAACACTAAGTACAGCTCTACTCTGACACACAGGCCATGAGAGGCGCTGACTCCAGGGCAGCTGGCTTGTCTTGATTCATTTAACCAATGACAGGCCAGCCTTCTAGGGAGGGAGTGGAAAGCCCAACTTCCCCTCCGAAGAACATTCAGAGAACAGGCTGGGCGCTGGAAGGAGGGTCCCACTGCAGCCCCCCCGGCTGGTTACTTTTATGGAGAGAATAGTCCTACCCCAGAGAGTGAATTACAGAACCCAGCTGCCTAGGAGGTGAGGGTCCAGTCCCACCCCCATTCCTGTTCCCATTCCCTGTTCCCTCTGTTGAGGCCCCCAGAGTGGCGAGGCCCGCCCACCCCCACCCTCTGGGCAGGAAGACAAACACGGCTAGAACAGAACAGAACAGGACAAAATGTCCTCTTGGGCAGGCAGGGCAGGACTAGAGGCCCCTGACCCCCCACCAGCCAGGAGGGAGGAGATGGGGCCACCATCCTGGAGTTTCATTCTTTCCAACCCTCCCCCCTCCCACCACCACGCCTAGCAGCCTACTTCTTGTCTTCCCAGCCCTGTAGCACTAAGCACTTTTTTGCCTTCTAAAGCTGGACAGAAACATTCTCTTCCCTGTCCCCCTTGTACTTGAGGGTGGGGTTGCAGGTCTCATGCCTGGATGTGGAGCCCATACCACCCCGAGAAATGGTCTCTGACTGTCCTAGGGCACCTCCCCTCCTAGAAAGGCTGCTTTCCTGAGGATTCCAGAAGAAGGGGATTAGAGAAGAATGAAGGCTTTGCAACCTCCCTGACTGAGTTCAAATACCAGCTCTGTCAGTAACTGGCTCTGTGACTTCTTGGGCAAAGGGCTTCCCCTTTCAGAACCTCAGTTTCCCCTTTGTAACATGGAGGTTTAAGATGCCTCTTTTCTCAGGGTCTTCTAAGGATTGTGGGAGCACACACAGACAAAAAAGCTCTTAGCCAGTACCAGATACATAAATGGTTAGTAAATTACATGTTAGTTACTATCTGGTCTCCAACTCAAGAAACATGCCCACTCCTGAACCTTCTTCATGATGGTCAGTATGTTTTTCTCAATCAATCAATCCCTTCTGATAATGTACCCAAAGTAAGCGAGTCAGAGTCTCGCACAACATTCTGTGATCCATGGGGTTCTCATTGGCAGGTTTTCAGAAGTAGATTGCTAGTCTTTTCCTTCTAGTCTGCTTTAGTGTGGAAGCTCATCAGATACCTGGTGTCAAGCTGTGGGTTAATGTTCTGGACTATAAGGTGTTTGAACCACAAGGTTGGCAGTTCAAGTCCACCAGCTGCTCCTTGGAAACCCTATA